CATTCAAGATTGAGGAATCAGAGATTTTGCTGGAATCTGAAGGTGGTGTTTTCTAAGTGTGGAGACATTTTAGGAAACTTCGGATTGAAGAAATTGATCTTGAGGAGAATATGTTGCAGACTCTGTGTAACTGAATTGCTGCATATTTGAAGCCAAAATCCAGTCTAGTTTATGGTTATAAATAAGATGGATTTAACCTAATCAAGGTATGAAAATACATTGTAGCTTAGTGAAGTTTAGGGTTTGTGTATTTGTGAGCCTCTCTTGTATCGTGTTGATACTAGAGCTTGATTATTTGCATTGAGTTGTAATTTTTGTCACTGCTGTGATTGAAAATGAATTGAGAAGGGTCTCATACCTAGGAGAGTCTTAGGTAGAAATTAAGCACGGGTAGTGATTAAGTGACAAGTTGTAAACCATAGGTTGTTTATTTTAGAATCAATACTATCTAGTGGATTTCATTCTTGGCTTGGTAGCCCCCAGACGTAGATGTTGTTATACACCAAACTGGGTTAATAATTACTGTATGTTCATTTACTTTTTGCAATTTCTATTGTTCTTCTTCTTGTCATTGTTCTTAGCAGAGATCAAGTGTCTCGGCATCTTTTAGGACATCTGAGATCTGCATACCAAAATTTAAAATATGTTGTGGCATTACTTACGACTTAATCTAAGTATGTTTTCCTTGTTTAAGAAGGTGAAGAAAGCAATATGGTTGAAGCATATGGTCGGAGAGCTAAGAATAACTTAAGGATGTGTGAAGGTACATTGTGATAACCAAATTTAAAGTCCAATTAATTTGAAAATTAACAAGTATATTATGAAAGGAAAAAACATATTCACATCCAATATTTGTATTCCAATATAGTTATGCTATAATCCAAAAAAATTATGATTGAGAAAGTTGCAAATGAGGAAACTCTAATGGATATACTTGCCAAATCCTTACCTAGATCAAAGTTCAAGCATTGCTTGGAATATGTCAATTTTGTTGAAGAATAATTATATGTTGGAGAGATAAAAAATGGTTTATGGAAGAAAAAAAAGTTAAGCATCACCAAAGATTTGAAATAAATATGAATATTTATGGGGAACTTACCTTTGAATATGGTGCTTTGGACTTTCTACACATGATGAACTGAATTAACTAGTACGTTTATTCGAATCATGTTATCAAAATTATGTCATGTTTCTTCCTCCACTTTTAGATTCCAATAAACCTTTTGAGAAGTATTTAAGTCATGTAAGTTTAAGTTTCGCTGCTTTGAATCAAATTTTAAACATCATTCCTTTTTCACTTCAAATTAATTATATGGGATTGTGCAAAAATGAAAGTAAAGAAAGTGAAAACAAGGGAACATGGTATTTTTTAAGTTCAGAAAATACATTGTAAACTTTTTTGGTAGTTAAGAATCATTAGGGAGATGATTCAATCTTTCTGCATTGAATCTTATAGTGAACCTTGTTTTGGATTGAGAGAAAAGAAAGAGAAAAATATGAATATTCATCTTGAACATTTGATATTAATTTCTTGTGATTTTATTTATATTTATTGTAAAGACTCATTAATAGTGAATTGCAAACATATTCTATATTCGTTTTCTCCAATCATTTTAAGGAATCTCTACTTAATATGCCCTTGCTAGACTGAATGGTTTTTTCACTCTCTTTTTGAAAAGGATAAAGAGGCCATATCAACTCCTTTAATTCTTCTTGAGTTAAATTGGGCCGTGAATCAATGCAATTTAATAAGAGTCTTGGTCATGATGGATTTGATTTTTCTTTTCTAAGATTTTGGGACCTACTTAGGGATGATTTAGGGTTATGTCCCGTTAGTTTCATTACCTTTCCTCTTTTCCCTATATTTCTTCCTCTTATTTTATGGCATTCCTTTTAGTTTCAATCTCAACCGGATGATTTCCGAACTATCTCCCTTGTTGGGTCCCTGTACAAGTAGGTTGATAAAGTTTTAGCTGCTACACTTAGGAAGGTGATGAAAACTTTTATTTCTCCCAATCAATCAACTTATTTTAAAGGGAGATGGGTGGTGTGGTGGTTTTGAGTGAGTTGGTTGACTTGACAAAGAAATATAAAAAATCTTGTTTAATCTTTAAGATGGATTTTAAGAAAACATCAAGATCATTTGCTGGGTAGATTTAATTTTGTGCTAAATGAATATATTGGACGTGTGCTTGTGTTTTTGTTAGGAACCTTAATGTGTTGTTTAATGGCTTCTCCACTCGAGAGATTATTATTCAAAAGGGTCTGAAGTAAAATGATCCCTTAACTCATTTTCTCTTCTTGCTTGTTGCATAAGGTCTTAGTGGGTTGTTCAGTAGACCTATTGAGTTGGTTTTATATGGAGGGCTCCTCGGATCTTGTGGTCACTCATATATAGAATTTGGATGAAAAATTGATATTGGTTGATCCTTTTGTTGATAATCTTTTACTCATTAAAATCATTCTTATAGGTTTTGAGCTGCCTTCGGGTCTTCAAGTCAACTTTGCGAAGAGTAGTCTTATAGGGGCTAATGTGGACCCTGATTTTTTTGAGTTACTTGGTAATTTTCTTCATTGTAAGGGAGGTCCTCCCTTATAGGTATCTAAAATCTCGTGGGTTAAATGGCATGATGTTTGCAAGCCTAAGAAGAAATATGGGTTGGGAGTTTGTGATATGCGCCTAGTTAATTTGACCCATTTGGTCAAATGGCTTTGGAGATTGATCTCAGGTTCGTATGATCTTTGAATTGATATTACTTCGGCTAGTTATGATGATCTTATTGTTTCCTCCTTCTTGGGGCGGGTTTCTGGTTTTCGTTATGTACCCACTTGGTGGAAACGGGTGTCTCTTTGTTAATCCAAAGAAGATGGCTCATCTGATTGGTTTTAAAATAATCGTAGTAAAAGAGTGGGTTTCGTTCTTCATACTTCTCCCTGAGTTGACCCAAGGGTTGGATCTATCTCTCTCAAAACTAGATTCCCTAGGCTCTTTAGTATCTCCGAGTAGAAAGATTGGTTGGTGGGTAAGGTTGGTCTACTGGAGGCCAGTGTGTTGGTCTAGGATCTAAGGTGGAAGAAATATTTTTTTTAGTATAAGTTAGAGTATGTTGTTAATTTCCATGTTGTCATTGAGGGAACGACTCTCTGTGGTTAGGGATAGGTGGTGGTGGAGTCATACTAGAGATGAGGTGTTTTTGGTAGGCTCAGACTTTTCTGTCCAACATGAGCTTCTCACTTCTCCCACTCTTTTCTCCATTTTGAGGAGCTAATTCTCCCTCACATTCGGGTTAGTGGGAACCTTTTTAAAATTGTGATTTTTTCTTCGCAATTCCTACAAGACAAGGTCCATACTAGAGAGAATATGCTTAAGTGTGGGGTTTCAGTTGAGCTATATGAGGTTTTTTATCCAATGTGTAGGGGTTGGTAGAATCAATTTCTCATCTTTTTGTTACTTATGATATGGTTGGCTCTATTTAGTATAGAATTTTTAATTAGTTGCGGTGGTTAGTAGTTCTTAAAATAATTATTTATCTTTTTTTTATTATTATTATTTTTATCTCATTTGGAGTAGGTCAAGAAATATGGGTGGTCTTCCTATAATCTGACATTTTGTTGTCTAGTTAATCTAGATTTCCTATAATAATATCACTTTTTTTTTATTCATTCAATTGAGAAGGACGAGAAAAAAAAATTCTATTATACTTTCTTTGATTGGTAAAATAATCCTATTATTTGTTTGAACTAATAATAGCCTAAGCATTTTTAACCCGGCTCATATAATGGAGTGTTCTTGGTAATTTTTCTGAAAATTTTTAGTTATGTTGCTTATGGTTTTGTTGGTTTGAACTCTAACATGTCTCTTGTCTTATTTTTTTTTGTTTGGATTTGTGTTGTTATTGGAATTTGTTTTCTCATGTATTTGTCTCTTGCCGAAATGGTGGTTTTCTTGTTTGGATTTGTGTTGTTATTGAGCTTTTTTGTCATGTATTTGTTTCGTTCTTTTTATTAACTTGCACTGTTTTTCTTATTGTTGCAATGCTATAGGCACACAAACCACAAATTAAACCACAACTTTTCGTTTTGTTAGTTTTTCAATTTTAAAGTTATGTACTTTAAAAACATCAATTGAGCAACGGTGTTTTGGTCAACCATGTCGTCTCATGTATATATCACTTTTATTTTTCTCCTATAGTATGAAAAGTAAATTTGTTTAGATTTAATTGAATCCATTATACACAATCATATCATATCTTCTACCTTACCATATATTGACTTCTCCAAGTCCTAATCAAAGGCCCTACTATGTCTCCTATATACGTGAACAATATTTTCCATTCTCTCCAATGTATATCTATTCTGATCATTTAAGCTTCAATTTTGGCTTTACAACAAAACAACAAAAGTTCAAAATCACACTGTAATTGCTAATTTCAAATGGGCAAAAAAGTCGTGAAATGTAATCATTTATTTAAACCTTCTATGACGCTAAAGTGGAAGAGGTTTTTTACTATGTCGCACGAGGCCATGTGCTAAGTGAAAAAGTATAAGCTTTTTTTAACTTTTCGATTCTCGTTGTGTAGAAAAGTAAAATTAGAATCTACTTTTTCTTTTCTCTTTTCAGCTTGTCTTTGGTTGCTTTGAAAAAAACTCTGCAGTAAACGACAGTCACGAGGCTTCACATTGTTTCTAAATTTAGAACTGAGGTAAGTTAAAACATGGCTTTAATTGCCGCGGTAGTTTCCGCAATCGCATCAAACTATAATTTTAATTACAAATCACACGTTACTTAATCTTGTTTAAATTTTTTAATATAGTTTTGTTTAATGTATTTCAAACTCTTCTGAATCAAAATTTGTCACAATGCAATAAATTATAATGATCGCATTCGCAACATCTGCAAGTGAAGATGAGCTAAAATAAATCTCCTTAAAGAAGAGAACAATGAATTGAATTTCAAAAACTAAATGGAAATAATTACAATCGATTTGTTCTAACAAAAACTACAAACACAAACCATTAGCAATGGCCTTATTGGTTTCTAAATTGGTAGTTTCATAAACCGGAAGCTCTTCGCGAAACCTTCCATCTCCGATAAGATGATCAAGCTCAAACAAATCGGAACTCGAATAACTCACAGCATCATTATCATCTTCATCATCGTCATCGTCGTCGTCTTCACCATTATCGCAAAGCCTTCTAAAATCAAATCCATTCTTTTCACCTCCTTTTTCTTTGTCCCCGACAACAACATTGTTAATTTTCTTCACCTCCTTAACAGAATTCCTCGTACTCTTTCGAACAGTACTAGGTTTTTGTTGCTGTTGTTCAGAATCTTCGCCTAGGATTACGCTAACAGGGTAGAATCTAACCGTTCTTTTAACACCGTTGTTGGATTTTGAAGGTGCTGTTTTACTCATGCAAGACCTTCTCGAAACCGAAGAAGAAAAACACGGCGACTTTGATTTATGATCGAAACTAACATCTTCAGCAGCACCAACGTAACACATTTTCGCTTTCTTCACATTGTGAGAATTGAAAATTGAGCTAAGAAATGTCGCTATTTTACTCCCAGGTGAAATGGGTTGTTTCACTTTCTGATTCAACTCACCGTAAATTTTCAAAGCTCTCAGTTTCGTTCTCGTAAAACCATCTTCCCAACCTTGTTGCTTCTTCTTCTTCTTCTTGTTCTGTTGTTGTTGTTGCTGTTGTTGTTTCTCTGAGTTGATATGGTGAATCAGGTTCATATGTTTACGAGTTTTAGATCTTTGTTTATTGTAAGACGAATCTGTTTCTGAAGATGAAAAGATTCCACCAGAGCTACATTCTGAAGAGCTAGTTGAAGTATAATTCTTCTCCATCCAATCTTCAATCATCACCGCTTGACGAAGATTCATCCTTTGTTTTTCCATGCCATTTTTGTAGAGACATGGTTTCTGGTTTAAGTTTTCATCTTCGTCGATGGAATGATCAATGGTGTCAAGAAGAATGGACGAAAAAGAAGGTGTTCTTCTTCTCTGTGGGAACAACAGTTTCTCTCTACTATGCATTGTTGAATTTGGTGTTGTAACTTGTAAACGCAAGTTTATATAACCAAAATGAAAAGAAGGTGCGTGCGTGTGTAATGAAAGATGCGAACAATGAAGTTTAGTTTAAGTGTGGTGAATGAAAAAGCTGTGGAAGTGTCTGGTGTGAGAGAATGAAAAGGTTTATTTAAAAATGAAGGCAAGTTGAGGGAGTGAGAGAGAGGAAGATGCGTGTGAAATGAGATTGAGATTTGAGAGAGAGTGAGAATTATAATATGAGGTGAGTGACAGAGTTGGTTGGAGTCGTGTCTTGATGTGTTTGTATTTACATGAACATGTTTAGTTGTTAGTAGTAGAAATGAATAGCTTTCGGTGAACATTTTGAAACATCTACTTTCTTATTCTCAAAATTACTTTAAAAAACATGACAAACTAGTTACATTAAATCACAATATCTTACACATTTTGTTGTGAAAATTAATTTTCTTTTTTTAAGATTTGTTGTGAAAATTAGTAGTGAAATTTGTTATGAATTAGGAATAATGAAGGAAATTTTAGTTGTGAAAACTTGTTCTCGTGTTCTTTTAAATTTATTTATTTTGTGTTCTTTTAAATTTATTTATTATGTTGGTGTAGGAGTAAGATTAAGGATTTATCAACTTGAATTATTGTATTCTTAAATATGGCATCATTAATATAAGTTGAAGTAAGTATGACATTAAGTAATTGTATTTTTATTGTTGTGTTTTATTTAGCTGTAAAATTAACTTATTGTTTGCATAACTTTAAGATATGTATTTGACATAGTTGTATGTCAGTTATTTTGAAAAGTATAACAAAATTATAGCATCAACTCAACGGGTCAAAATCATATGCACCTCATTCAAGTGAGCGTTATATATATCTAATAACTTATCAATTTAAAGTGGTCTATTGTAGAAATTAATAAGTAAATGGAATGAACGTAGTAGGGATTTAGAGTTAGTGATACAATAACTTCATTTTATTCCAATCAATTTTTGTTTTCTTTTAGGGTTATTTGTTATTGGTAAGTCCCTAGTAGTTGAGGAATATCAAGAGTCTGTAAATTAGGTCAAATTTAAAGTTGCATGTTGTATGTCTCTGCCTAATGGGTTATGAGTTTTGATTGTTTGTTTATTAAGTTTTTGGTTTTGTTTATATAAACACAGAGTCTCCTCATAGATTGCGTATTTCTGGATTTATTTTTAAATTCATTTTAGGATGCATAAATCAAAGTGTTTGGTTATAGCTTAAGAAATATGGTTGAATTTAATCTATTGAATTTTTGGATCAAGAATTGTGTTTGAGAATGATTCAAGTCATGACTATAATAGAATCTCAAAAATCTTTTTGAATTGTGTAAAAGTAAAATTTTGTCAGTGTAATTCAAATCACATTGTTTGTCTGACTCGAATCTGACTCACAAGGAGCTCAGAAATCATTTTCTAGTTTTCATGATTCGAATCATATAATACATGATTTGAATCTCAATACTCTGATTTGAATCACAATTCGAATCACAATGAACAGATAAACTTCCTGGTTTACTTTTGAAACTCTAATTCAAATCACCACTTTTTGTGAATCGAATCTTAGTTGTTATGACTCAAATCACACAAATGGATTTCATGTAGTTTTTGCTCTGTGATTCAAATCACTTGGTGTTCTGGCTCCAATCATACCTTTCGCTTAAGACTCGAATCATATACTATTTTCACTCAATTTTTGTGCTAGATCTCCAGCACATATAAATAGAATTTTTCTCAAAAATCTTTCACAATGATGGAAAACACACACTTCTAATATTGAATTGAAAACTCACAATTCGTTGTACTCTCATTTTCAAGAGGTTTTTGAATCTTTCTTTAATACTTGCAAACAAAATCTTTCATTTTCTACCTCATTCTTTTCCATTATTATGTGGATCTAAATCTCAGTTTTGAAGATTTATGATTATTGAGGAGAATATTTTATTGGATTTAACGTTTGTTTGAAGATTTGCTTAAGATTTTAGAGGTTCACAAGGTGTGTAGTGTTGTGGATGATTTTGATAAGTCCAACAAAAAAAAAGAGGTTATTCTCTCCATATTCACTTTGGTAGTGGCGTATGGAAATTTATGGACAAGTTGAGAGTTCTTCTCAATCTTTGAACAAACCAACGTTCAAGATACCGATAGAATTGAGGAAAAATCAATGTAGGAAGAGACTCTGGGTCAGGATTGTTGGGGTTAAAAGATTCATGACGATTTCGTGTAAATATTTCACAAAGAATCCAGTGCAGATACTTTATATGAATAAAGGAATCAAAATAGAATGTTTTTATGTTTTTAGTGTTATGTAGATATTATGATCGTACTAAAACTCGTGTAATTTGTGACAAACTACACTGGAACACCAAAAAATTTAATGAAAAATCATTGGAGAGTCAAATAAATTTAGTTAGAACATTAGTCGAACCTCTCTCTCTCTCTCTCTATATATATATATATATATATATATATATATATATATATATATATATATATATATATATATATATATATATAAAAAATGAATTAGAAAAAAACTATTAAATTGATTCATTGATAACTAATGTTTTTAGTATTAGAAAAAATTAGATAGAACGTGTTTTGGTGCACATGGGATTCAAAAATGATAATGGTACAAAGAATGCTTGTAAAGAGAGGGTGTGTGTTTTGGTGCGTGGGAGTGTTAATTAAAAAATTAAAGAAAGAGACAGTCAGTAGGTACGGTTATGTAAGAAAAGAGCAGAGAGTGTAAAAAGTTGTACTAAGTGAGTACCGCGCGTGCGGGTGTTCTTTTCAGAACTCACTCACCTCACCCCACACTTTTATTTATACACCAATTATTACATCAACTAACTTTATACTACACCGTCAATCAATTAAACTACTCTTTTTACCGTAAAATGAACTATATTTTCCTTGCATTTTTATGTTCAAATTTCTTTTAAAAAAACTTATGTAAAGCAAAGCAAAAATATTCAATAGACTTTGTGATCAACTGTAAAATTAGATCCACACCACATTTGTTTTACAAATAAGATAGTGTACTTCTAAACATGAGTTGTAAGTGCTAGATTTTAGAGTTTAAAAATAGAGTATATAGAGCTAAATAATGAGTTGGCATTTATAAGAGGAAAATTATCAGTTTTAGGATGATTTCTCTAATTTGACATTAGTTTTTGATGACAAATGTATAGAGATCATTATGTGATTTTTATCATTTTTATCATCAATCTTGATTGTATGTCCCAACTTTTTTTTTGGTGTACCCTTTTATGAAAATGGTTTTGGTAGTAAGAGAAATAAAGAAGAATTACACTAAAAGATGCTAATAAATTTAAAATTAACTTTTTAATTTATTTTCATTGATTTCAATTACATTCAACATTTGTTTATTTATAACATTGGTATCAAGCGATTACTCATTATTTAGATTCTTCTAAAGAATAATATCTTACTAATATTAATCTTAATGAACTTATCAAATTTGAGCTTAATTTATTACATTCCACCAATTTTGGAAATCCACCTTGTCCTTAAAGTGCAATTTGAGAGAAGTTAAATTGAGAAAAAAATTATAGTGGTGGATGATTCAATTTGAAAAGATCTAATTAAGAACAACGTTCATTGATCTTACTTGACTAGAAAGAGATTAGCAGTCAGCACGCGTCGTGAGCTCCTAATTCGCCGATGGTGGAGAAGAGGAGGGGATGTACATGTAAGGTACTCTGATGTCAAAGTAAGAAATGGAGTAAGAGAAAGCGAGTACAAAAAAGTTGGTTGTGAATAGAATACCTAACTCTCTAGTGAAAGATGTTATTTATAAGGTGTCCCTCAGGGCTGGGTCAACAGTTATTTTGCATTAGGTTGGATCACTAGGCTCAATAAGAATAATTGACAAGATCTATATGGTGTAGGGAAGACCAACACGTGGTCTTCATCCTGGTCCAACTGTCATGTGAACTTCGGAAGGTGGAGGACCTGTTCTTTCAGACGCGGATAGTTGGCTGATGACGTGTCCCCGCGGGGGGAACACGTGGAGGCTGTGGGGGAGACGCGTGAGTGTTCCCCGGGCCAATGATGGATTGGGCCCTCATTGGCCCTCCTCGACAAGGAGTTGGGTTGGGTCGTGTTCGACTGTGGGCCAACCTCTAGCCCAGTCTAGAACAAGAGCCCCTAAGTCGTTGCTCCGAAGCGCGGGAGTAATGACTTAAGAGTTAACTATCGTGTCGAAGATAGGTTATCTGGTGTGTCGCCCACACTCGAGGTTCTGAGTTCACAAGGTTACCGGGGATCAGATGCGGAAGCCTTTGATCGTGTTCGATATGAGTTATGTCCCTGGCCGACGATGGGTCGGTCATTTCTTTGTCCTGAGGGCAGACGCTTATCTCACGTATACGTGGCTTACTTTCATCTCCTCTCGAAGAGGTGTCCATGGCGGCGCAAGAGTCGCCCATCGTCCTCGACATGTTGGGTGGCACGATGGAAGTGAAAAGGGTTGACACATCATTTCCTCAAGCCATGCGAAGGGACTCGAAGGGACGCACGAGGCGTCTTCGTGCGCCATGTGTCAGAAGCAATTAATGTCTATTACGACCACAAGTAGGGTACTTGAGTGCCTATGCAATGCCTCGCTTCCCATGCTAGGGATTTTAAATAGAGGGGAAGGTCGGTTCATTTGTACGCTTCCCTTGTAACTCAAAGAATTTTTCAAGATCCTCTCTGATTTTCTCTCACCCATTCGCCGTTGTCGTAGCTAGCTTCTTGCTCCACCGTCCAACTCCAGACTCTTTGCACAATTATGCTCTCTATTTTTTCCAAGTTTATGTTTCTTTTTGGTGAGTTATGCATTTTTCGGTGATTTCTCTAGGGAGCCCATGAGGTTTCCGGCGAACTCATGAAGTTTTCGACGAAGTTCATGAAGTTTCTGACGGATTTCATGAAGTTTTCGGCGAGCTCATGAAGTTTCCGATGAAG